AAAAAGGTCCGCATACTCTGAACATCTCAATCGTAGTGTTCAGAACTGTGTTAGGACCAGCCTAATTTTGTACGTTGATGTCTGTTTTCACGTACTCACAGGGTATTTCAAAGTGGATTGTACAGTGTATTCCTCTGCTAAAGGATTTTGCGTTGTTTCATTCTGTGCATGTACAGAACACTGTCAGAAGGAAGGCACGGCCTTGTTTGGGCTGGCCTCGGGGACGTGGTGAAGCGCAGTGTGCAGTAGCCCTCGTGTTTGAGGCAGGAGCTGAGCTCTTCCTTCCAGCCGTGTAGGTGGAAAAGCTGGGAGGTACCTGGAGGAAAATCCAGTGCTCATCTGTGCTTGAGGAATGATTGCTTAGTCTGCAAAAGACATACATATTCCTGGCAGACAGACTTTTGATTGTTAATCTCCTTAGGAGAGCTCACATCGTCTGTTCCATCCCAAGCAGGACCAATCAACTCGGTTCATTTTTATTTTAGGTGAGCAATTAGGTCATCTGAGTGATTTTCAGGTATTTGCAGGCCATTACTTGTGTATTACACGGATGATGGAGATACCTTAAACCTTAGTAACCTGTTCTGTGCTTGTACTCGCGATTCTGAGCTTTGAGTTTATTGAAGCATTTTTCCCAAATATATGTTATCTATTTTTTAAAAATCTCTACTTTTGAAGGATTAAAATGCTATTTTCTTGCTTTGTAGCCATTTCCATTGGTTTCCTCTTCACGATGGTTAGTGAAAAGGGGCGAATTAGCAGCGTATGTCGAAGACACTGGACTTTTTTCGAAAAGAACTTCTAAACAGCAGGTGTACTTCTTCCTCTTTAACGATGTCCTCATTATCACCAAGAAGAAGAGGTAAGAGCTTCACCAATATAACACTGCCTTGGTGTTCAACTCCTTGAACTGCAGAGAGAACAGCTGAGCTGCTGTTGTCTTTAAATTTACCGTGCCTGCTGCGTGTGCCTCGCCTGGGGGAGATGGAACCGAAGCTTTCTGGCTTTGCAGCGGCAAACTTGGTTGGGCCCACAGCATTTTTACACGTTTTTTGCTGCTTGTTTGTTTGAAAGAATGAAGGAGATTCAAAGAGAAGTAAGTGAACCTGGTACAGGTGCAGCATAAACCCGGAGGAAATACAGACTAAACATGTTCTAAGTCCAGTAAACATTTGTGAAACCATTTACAGGTTTTGATTTGCCGTGTCTGATGAGAGTGAGTTATGTAGATATTTGACTTTCTAATATGGCTTGACCGGACTCCGTTTCAAAATGACAAGCAACCACCTGTTAAACAGATGCAATTGAAATTTCAAATTGTCTGACAATTTGAAGGAGTTCATCCTTGATGCCTTAGCAAAGGGAGAAGTTTTGGAAGGATAAAGAAACGTTAATTTTCATTCCCCTCCGCGTTTCCCACCATTGGGCTGTTTTTGAGAATGATCTATGGGAGACCACTTCGGGCAGTCTCCATTTAAATTTTTATCACTAAATTGGAGGGGAGGTTTGGAATAATTGAAGAATGGAATTTACGTGCTCTGCTGTTGTGACTAGATAATACTTGATAGATAAACCTTATTCCCGTGACTAAAAACTGTATTGAAGAACAATTATTTTGTATCTGGGTTGGCTAGGTAAGCCAAATACCAGCTATTTTTAAGAAACCCTTTTGTGAAATTTCAAATTCATAATTGAAGAGATTTTGAGGACTGAGGTATGATACAAAATCTGGGAAGAAAATGCTAATATTCAATCAAAGAGAAAGCTAAATGAAAATGGAGGGGGAAAATGTTTAAGTGAAAGGGGTTTTCCATGAAGATGGGGAGAAAAGTGAATCGATTTCTCCCCAGCCGTCTCAGTGATGTGAACGGGTTCCTGAGACTCAGTGTTTCTGGGAGCTTATGCCGAAATGTTCCTGTGAAAGTCCCCTGTTAAATGGCCGGCTCGCTGGCAGCACGTCAGAGCTGGGTCATGCTCTTCTAAACAGCGCATTGCTCTTCTCCTGGGACTGCTGCTAACTTATTATTGTGGTGGTAGCTAAGTAAATGTTTGAGTTGGGAAAAATCTATTATCTGTGTTGTTACATTGTTTATTGGTTTCCTATGTGATGGCTCGTTGTCCAGATTTTTATAATAACAGATCTTATCCAAACTTCGGGGCTTTTGATTTATAACAGATTCCAGCTGTTGGAATTGAAATGTCCTAAATGGCCCCGAAGCCAAAATTAAAGACCACTGCACGTTAATGGTCAGATTCTCATAGTCACTCTCCCAGGCACGAATGCACGCAGTTGAAAAGGACGAAGTTCTGCCAGCCTCCCAGACACTCTGAGCGTGAAGCATGTCGGTTTGCCAGAGTAAATAAGCTTATTAATAACATTTGAGCTTTTGGTGATCTGTTCTCCCACCCACAGTGTTACCATGGATGCCACAGCAGTGGACAGAAATGCTTGTTGCCAGTTCAACTTAAATGTTTGTATTTTTCACAGGGGAAAAAAAAAAAATTACTCCTCACTTCTGTGCTAAAAATACCGATTGCTGGGTGCTGCAGTCATGCTGTTTAATCTTTGCCCAAAAGCGACTCTCCAGCTGTCCCATCTGAGCGCTTTGCCGTATATGTAGAACCTCGCGCACATAATGAGGACTATTACATTTCAGCTGTAAAAAAGATAAAGGGAGGTCGCGTGTTGGTGTATACTCGGACATGCTGCAGAGTTCTCATGTTTTAATTTTAATGATAACTTCATCATAATCTTCCTCGGCTACAGTTTCACCTCCTGACTGAAGTGGCAAGGTTTAACTGCCAGGTTAAATGGAATTTAGCTACCAAAGTCTCTTCCCTGTTAGTGGACACTGTGTGGCTCCCCCCCCTGCCACTATGAAATATTTTGGAGGCTTATGCTTTCTGTGGCAGCAACTGGACGGTCCATTTCTGTGTGTGTTACAGATACGTCAGTGACCTTTTGGGCTCTGATTTTGCGCTGTAAAGCAGCAGGACAGTCCATTGCTTCCATCACATTTGCCCTTCAAAGACGGAAGGCAAATGGCTACAGCATCATACGCAAGACTGGTCATTGGGATTGGGCCAGAAAGGGACCCGTGACCTTGTGAGGTCTCATTCTGCACAAGATTTTTGGGAAGAATAAAAATCTGCATTTCCCCACTGCTCAGCTTTTAGTTGATCGGGAACTTTTTTCCTGTTCAGTAGTCCTTTCTTGTAGCCCCTTCTGCTGTGTAGACAGAATCTGATTTTTTTTTAAATGTCATTTAAAAAAAAGACTCAATACTTGTAAAGTTTTAATGCATTATCTTGAACAGTCAGTGCTAGCATGTGTCAGGATGTCCAAATCTTGGTAGAAGGCCAGTTTTTATATGGTTGGTGGATAGGAAAGTATCGATTAATTCTTGTTCATGTCAGCACGGACACGGGTTGCATTATGGCACGAGGGGGAGCGCTGGGTGATATTTGGGCGGCTCAGCATGCTGTTCCGGGATTACCTGTGCAGTCCGTGGAGGAGGAGGCAGGTCCCTTTGGAGAGCACTGCTCATTAAGCAGCCTAATTCAGCTTGTCCAAATTGCCCTCTCAACCTACTGTTTAGGTAGCTCTGGGGAGTTAGAAATTTGTGAAGTTAAATATTGTGAATACCCTGCAAAGAGCGAGTGTAGACTGACTTTAAGTAACCTAAATCCTACATGTATTGTTCATTCAGCTTTGCGGCACTGGTTTACCTTTCTGTTTCATTCTCTAACTCCATTCTTTTTTTGCTCCTGTTATGGCTTCTGTTATTTTTTTTATTTACTGCCTGGCTGTACTGTGACTTGCCACCATTTTGGCCATGACATCCACTGCTGGGACCCGTAAACCTGTAGCTTATGCCAGCACTGGATTTTGAAGGTAGTGTTGTGACATAAGGAGTAACATGCAATGTAATTCATCCTTGGAGTTGTTCTTTCAAGCTGCCTCATGATTCGCGTGTGCTACGGTACAATTGTTGTTACTAGCGTCATGCTTGGGAGATTTGCTTTCTCTTGGGCTAGTGAAGAAGCTATTCTAGGTTCCACAGAGTATGATGAAATTAGTGCTTTGTTAAAATACAGAGTACTTGGTTTAAACACACATACTGCTTTTACGTTTGCATGTATTCCCTTTGTCATGAGTTTTCAGTTTTCTCCCTCTCCTAAACCACAAGTGTGGGTGTCAGTACCATCCCCACCTCCCGCGCAGCTGAGGGGCGTAACTGCTGGGTGTAGGTACAGAATTTGTGGCCAGGCCTGGCAGAGTTTCTGTAGTGGGCACTTCGCAGCTGCCCAAGGAGAAGGCCAGGCTGCAGAGGAGGCGATTTCTCCTATACCTTTTTGCAGGCCTGGAAGCATACACTGTAACAAAATTCTGCTAAAAATAGGATACAGCTAGCTTTGAACCCTACCGAAAGTCAAATACCTCCTTTTATTCCACATGCCCTCTTGGGACCATGAAGATCCGGTCATGTATTTTAGTTATTAATGCTCAAAGCTGCCTGTGAGCTAGCTCTGTGTTCTGCAGAGTTCAGGAGAACTCCAGAACTAATAAAGTTTTGTTACATACAACTAAATAGCTGCCCTATCCAGCTGCTCAGAAAATCCACCAGTTACATCCGGAGTGCTTGTAGAAGATTGCAGGTGAACTCCGGAGAGGCTTATATTTTTGAATGAGTGTACGTTTATTGAATATTCTGTTTTCCATAATGCCCTACGGATAGCACTAGAGTCCCGTCTGCTTTAATGGCTCTGTGGCGTGGCAGCCCCCGAGGTGCCTTGACAGCGGAATGCAGCCGGACTTCACCCACCGGCAACCACCCAGAGGGTCACTGCTGCTGGGGAATGTCACCTGCTCACGGCTGCCCGCCAAGCTGCGGTTTGTCTCGGGGTGACGTTGTGACCGAAGGCAGGCACGAATGGCAGGTAACTTGTGGAACACCACGGATTCCAGAGTAGCGCAGCTTCCTTAGCTGTAATGAAACACAGCTGAAGAAGATTCATGAAGGATTTGTATCACTTAAAATACATGATAGAAAGAGTAAAGGACCATGTGCTTTCTGTCAAAGTGCAGGTGGCCCAGAACACATGGTGTTAGCATCAACAGATATCTGGTCTTCATAAAAGTGCTTTAAAATTTGCATGCATTCCCTGCGAGGGGATATGAAATACCCCTGTTGTTTCGTGTGCTGAATCCGAATAAAAGTTTAGCAAAACAGGTCAGTCTTAAACTGCAAATGAACGTTGGTGCGTTTGCATTACCTGGGTGCAGTCACGTTAACGAATGTGTTAAGTGGCCGTCCTGTTACTCCGCTGCCGGGCTGAGCGGATTAAGTTCCCGTTTATGTTCATCTGCTCACTCCAGCACTGTCAGCTTTGTCAGCGTGTCTCACGATCCCTTTGGAACGAGGAGAGGTGGTGGGCCCCGCAGAGGGCACAGGAGGCAGAAGGATGAGGACTGCCTCATAGCTTCAGATCGGGCTGTTCTGTTGAATGGAGATAAGCAATAGGAAGGATTTGTGGAGGTTTATCTCTGTTGATTAGTTAGTAAGGAACACATTCATTGTTAGTTACACAAGTGCATAGACTAGTTGACTAACTAGTAAGGAATGCATTTACCATTCGTTACATAAATGTATAGATTGTTTCTTTTTCATATGCAAGATTCCCAAATGACTATAGCAGCATCCCTAGTTGGTTTCACTCGTTCTGCCCTTGGCTAAGCAGAGATTGCCCAGACTAAAATACCAAACTGACTTCTTAAAAAAAAAAAAAAAAAAAAAGGCTGGATGTCAGACAGGAAATACTAGAGTCAGTACATGCATATAGACATGAAACAAAGTAAAAAAAAAACAAAACACTTAAAAAAAAAAAAAAAAAAAAAACCAAACCAAAACAAAAAAACCCACAGAAACCTGAACCAAACAAAAAAAACCTCCACAACAAACCAACCAACCTTTCCCTGTTTTAGATTATATGTTTTAAGAAAAAGAAAGAGGGAGAGAGACACTGATAAATATTAAACATGTCTTTTTCTTCTTCAGGAGGAACCCTCAGCTACTACAGGTGGCACTTGAAACAGTTGTCCTCAAGTGATACGTAGCATCTTTTTGTAGATAAATGCATTAATTTCAACCTAGAGCTGGGTTTAGGGGAATGCGAAACCTAAATCCCCAGTCTCTCCTGCCTCCCCTCTCACAGCCTCTTACAACACGTACGCCTTCCTACTGTAGGACAATCACAGCACATTAAAATTTGTTGTTTCGGGGAAGAGCTCTGTGCACACCTTTCCCAAAAGATAAGGATGTACGGCGTACATCTGAATTAACATTCCTCTGAGCATCCCTGTGTTATATGTGTGGAAATTAAAGTTTATCTTTCCACATGCTGAAATATTCTCCCAGCTTCTCAGTGTGCCCATGGTAAATTCCTTTAATTAGACTAAAACCTATTTGTGGTCTGCATTCTTTACCCTGTGGGACACAAGGAGTCATGTGTAACAACGTAATTAACCTGGCTTCATTTTTACAGAGCTCTAAACGAGTTAGCTGCTTCCACCTCATTTCCTACATAACTTATTTTTAAATTTTTTTACTCTAAGGAACATGGAAATGCCAGTCTGATGCAAAGCTGGGTTAATCAAAACTGCGTGGAGAGTTTTTAAAGCTATCCTAAGTTCTTGCGACAGTGCTCTGGGAAGTTTGGGTGTGTCTGTGCCTTTGTCGATGGTGCCAGAATGGGCAGCTGTGATGCCAGCCCTCAGAGTGGAAAACACCAGAGGATTGCGGGGAGTCCTTGGTACCATTTTGAGACTTGGAGGAAAAGAAACAGGGAAGAAAAATGTTCATCTTCTTATGAGCTACAGTGATTTCAGTCCTCCTATATGATAAATCTTACCAAGATCATCTGTCATTGCTTCGGCTTCCTCCATAAAGCCCCCAAACTCCTCAACAAAAGATGAGAAGAAAAAATACTCGCGGGAAGGATTAGTTCCATTAGTATCATGTCCTGTGTCAGTCGTTCCAGAATGTACAAAGCTGTACTGCAAAAAGCCCTTTTCAAGTATTTAATTCACGGAACAAAAGTAAAAACATACTCCGCATAGTTGAAGTAAGAACTTTGTTTTTACATTAGGTGCTCTGGCAGAAACTATTAATCCGCAGAAATCCCAGGTACAATACGATCTGAAACCTGTTGTCACTGGAAGAAGAGAGCAATTCTTCTAGTGCTGTGTGAGTCACAGAAAGCAGCAAGAACTTGAGGTTTGAGTCATGAAGTTGCTCAGCTGTGCTTCAGAAATTCTTTTTCTGAAGGATTAAAAATAAGAATTAGAAAAATACCTGTGAATACCTCAGTAATTAATGTAATGGTCTTTAAGACAGTTTGCAAAATGGGCAGAATGTATCTCAACAGACGTTAAGTCATCCTCCCTCCATCTTTACCATATCTGAGCAACCATAAAGGAAGAATACGCTCTGCTGGCACCTGCCAGAAAGGGGGTATGTCACCGTCGGCGTTTCAGAGGGCTTCGGTTCCAGGTGTTCGGGATTTGATTTGTGTCAGGTCAGTGCTTGGGTTTCTGTATATCTCTGGCAGCAAAATTAATCTTCCCAAGTATTTTTTCAATTTAAACTATTTTAATGAACCGTAATAATCTGAGGCTCTTGCATAGTTTGTCATCACTCCAGACTGAGCTCTGAATAGATTTTACTTTACAGTGGAGTAGGTATAGTTGTACCTCAACATTTGATGTATTTGATTTACTGCAAAATTTGACAGATACAGCAGTGTATGGGCTAGGAGGGGCAACTGGCGTTCTGCCTATGTAAGCAGGATTTTTTCTATCTTGTTGCACCAGTGTAGGACAGTAAATCAGAAATGGTTACAAGCTTACATGAAATGATGAATTAATTAGTTTATCAGTACCCTGGGTTCACAATATAGCCTGGTAAACTTGCGAATGTGTGTAAGAATTCTGGGAAATATGCTTACAAGCTTCAGTAGAAACAAAAAGGCCTTTCCAGCTGGCTTTTCTTTTCACGTGATATACTGCTGAGTAAGTGATGTAGATTCTTTTAACTGTTACTGTAACTATGTTTCACAACTTTAAAAGTTTGGAAATGCACAGTGATTTTCCACTTTAAAAAAATGTGCTTCCAATATTGCCGTGATGCAAGTAAGTAGACAACTGGTTGAACTCGCGTCAGAGTGCTGAAGAACGCTGCGTGAGGTGCCTGGATATTCACAAGCTGAAGCGCGTGTTGTAAATAGGTGGGAATGGGGGTGAAGTAGCTGCTCCCTGCTGCTGTCTGTTGCATGTGGCCATGGGCTGTGTCCAGACGTGCTTCCTCCCGTCTTTGCCAGGGCTTCACCTGTCAGAAGATCTTGGTTAGCAGAAGTGATTCTCGCATTTAGAAATAAAGGCTGCTGTTCAGGGAAGGGTGCATATTTTCATTTCAGTCCTTCTGTTGCTAAAATCAATAATGCTTTCATGTTCTGATTTGTGATATCTAATGTTTTGTCCACCTCTCCACCTACATTTCAGCCATAAGGAAAGCAAAGCTTCTAACTTGCATAATTTCTTCGAATTCTTTCTAGTCGCTCTTGGGAAATTACTAAGCTCATGTAGCAATTCTTAGGTAATGTTTCAGAATATTGTAAAATAGTTTTTAGACTAGACCTTCTACACGTGGATGGACAAGGAGGACAGAATCCTCTATTTAAAATGATCAGTAGTGTTTACCTGGAAGCAGTATACATACCCATGGTTTCATAGGCACAGGAAAAGGGAAATATTACCTTTTTCCCTATAAGATTCTAAAATTAAAGTGTGTTCATCTGAAGCTACAGAAGAAAAAGCAGTGCAATTCTGTACAATCGCTGTCCCTGTTTTTAAATTTAGTGGAGTTGTGTTTTACACTATTTCAAGAATGCTGGAGTCATTTAACTGTGCCACAAAATCTATTCTATCTTGGAAAACCGGTAGTTTCAAGAGGCAAATAAACAGAAAAGATTAAGATCTGAGGTGTGAGAAGAATCGTGTTGTACTATATAGTTAAAACTGGATTCTGTGACTGAGTTTGCTTCCCGACATACCTAATGGAAAATGAAACATTAAACTCTGGGGGATTTTTCCTTCTTTGTTCTGCAGTGAAGAGAGTTACAACGTCACAGATTATTCTTTGAGGGATCAGCTCGTGGTACAACACTGTGACAGTGAGGACCTGACTTCTTCTCCTGTAAAGAATGCTTCAGCGATGCTCTACTCGCGGCAGAGTGCGACAGCTCACCTCTTCAGACTGGCAGTCCTCAGTAACCACGCAGGAGAGAAGGTGGAGATGCTCCTGGGAACAGAGACTCAGTAAGTCAATAGTTGGCATTTCTGTAATTTCTCACCCCATCATCTCTGTAGGCTGCCTCCCCCCCTGCCCGGTCCAGGCAATGTGAAATGCCCAGCTCCTGGCTGGCGGGCAGGCCGAAATCAAACCTCAACAAAGCACAACACGCATTTCTCTACTGTGATCTCCTCGTGAGAGCATTCAGTGGCTCCACGTCCTGGTAGCGTCATTCTCTGTCCCTGAGGTCACGGTGTAGGAATAAATTGAAGCATCCCTTATTGCATGCTACTGTTTTGGGTCTTCAGGCCAAGAATTAACTATGCCTCTGCCATGGAGATCACCAGCTCCCTAGCTGAGTGACGGAATCCCTTCTAGTTGTTACTGGTGAGGCAAACAAGCAAGGGCCGCAGTACAGAGATTTAAGCAGCTGGGATTTCGTGGGGTTTGGAGGGGCGGGGGGTCATGGAAGGAATTTCTATTAGATTTAAGTTATTTTCAATGTAAGTGATATCACAGTTAAGAAATCAAAATTCTGTCACATAGTGTAACTGGTAAACTACACAATCTAGTGATTACATATTGCAATATGGAAGTTTTTATTGTTTAATTTGAACTACAAATGAGACTTAAGTATCTGAGTTGTCAGTGGGTTTTGTTGTAGCACGAGTATGATGCCTTTTCCTAACAAACCTGAGAACTGGAAGTCAAGACACAGGTTTTCTATCTCATCTTGTGGCACACCGTGCTGCTGTGCACAGAGTAACTGAGCGTGCAAATCTAAGCGTAATGCAGGTTACTGTGAGGAAAATGTTACTTTTACTGTTAAGTGAGACTTTCTTGATATTTATCTTGGGAAGAAGACCTTGAATAATCTGACTGTAGAAAGCCAACCGTGCCCTGAGCTGCATCCCCAGCAGTATGGGCACAGGGCGAGGGGGGGGATTCTGCCCCTCTGCCCCGCCCTGGTGGGACCCCTGGGAGTCCTGTGTCCAGCTCTGGAGCCCTCAGCACAGGGCAGACCTGGAGCTGTGGGAGCGGGGCCAGAGGAGGCCCCAGCAATGATACGAGGGGCTGGAAACCCCCTCTGCTGGGAGGGAAGGCTGGGAGAGCTGGGGCTGCTCAGCCTGGGGAGAGAAGGCTGCGGGGAGACCTGAGAGCAGCTGCCAGGGCCTGGAGGGGCTGCGAGAGAGCTGGAGAGGGGCTGTGACAAGGGCAGGGAGTGACAGGACAAGGGGTGATGGCTTCAAACTGAAAGAGGGGAGATTTAGATTAGATATTGGGAAGAAATCCTTCACTGTGAGGGTGGTGGGGCCCTGGCCCAGGCTGCCCGGACAAGCTGTGGCTGCCCCCTCCCTGGTAGGGTTCAAGACCAGGTTGGACAGGGCTGGGAGCACCCTGGGCTGGTGGAAGGGGTCCCTGCCCATGGCAGGGGGGTGGAACTGGGTGATCTTTAAGGTCCCCTCCAACCCAAACTGTACTGTGATTCTATGAGTTAAGCTTGCTCTGTCTCTGATATTTTTCTGCACTGTTCTTTATTGTTTTAAAGTATGTTACTGTAATTGTCAGTTCTCTTGGCAATTTGGCTTTTATACCGGGTTGTCGATACGTAGAGCACAGTGTCAGCAGGAGGAGACAGGCACAGGTGGATCCTAAGGCACGGTGGTGGTAGCAGGCAAATGTTGTTGGGTATGAAGGCAGCATGCTTTTGTCCTGGAGCAGCAATTTGCAATTATTTAACGGTTGGATGGTGCGGAAGTGGAAGCAGTGCTGGATTAAATGGGAGGAGGAGTTTGGCACTGCCTTGGGGAAGCTGTGGAGCTGTGCTGGGATAGGGGTGCTCCTTGTTCTCCTGATGCGGTTTTGAAGAGTGTTCTGCTTTAGAAACGAGCAACAAGAAGTGTCTTGTTCTTTGGGTGCAGATATCCGAGGGGCCATCATTTCGGGGTGGTGCCATTAACTTCCACACAACCCTTCACAAAAGTGAAAGATTTTATCTGTTCCAGTGGAAGCTGGAGGCGGGACAGAAGACGTGAAACAGAGTGCTCCAGACGTATCCCAGCCTGGAAAAATTGACAGTTTTAGGTTTACTTTCAAAGATTAGAATAACCCTGAAAGAAACTATAGATCATTAGTGATCTCTATTAAAGATCTCATTATAAAATAAGCAGATGATTCAGACTTGTTTGGAAATGCATTTTCGTTGGGGAAAAAATGCAGTACATATTTAGTTGTCTGGGCTTTTTATGAAAAGACCTTTTGTTCTGCAGATTTATTACTGATTCGCTATATGCTTTTTGTAATATAAATAGCAGTCTAGCAGATTGTCATTCAGAGGAAAAGATTCTGAAAAGAAGTACTTTATTTGAAGATTGCCTATATTTGTAGAGTATTATCATATCTACAAAAGGTAAAGAAAAACAACTTTAACTTTGAGAAGGATGGGGAGGGAATCTATAGTGGGAAGGCCAGGCCGGATGGTGTAGAGTGCTTATTGAATAGCATTTTGCACATGTAGAACTTCAATGTTTTCGCTGACACAAAGGTTTCTAGCAGAGTTTGATCGTGTTTTGTCACTTCGTGGGTTGTGTGGGTCCCAAGGACAAAAGTGCCAGCGCTGGGTCAGGAACGTTGCATTGCCCTGTGAGTAAGGCACAAAATGTCTGGTACACACAGCTTAAGAAGAAATACATACTTGAGCTGGGAGACAGTCTGGCATTACCCAATTTTTCTCAGAGTTATCTGAAAGGAAATGCAGTTTCCCTGTTAAGAATGGTTACAGGAAAAGGAAAATATGAGTCTAAATAACAGCTGTTTCTAAAAAAAAAAAAGCCACAAAATTAAGCTCATGCAAAATTGTATACAGATGTTCTTATTTTGATTGGAACACAAGTTCAGTATCACGTACTTTTAATGACTGGAATGTCTGAAGTAGCATGCGCTGCAGCTTTGGCCATCTGTATGAGATCAACAGATATCAAACGTTGGTAGGACATGTGCAGCAGTTTCATCTTCGAGGAAGAATGTGTGTTGGGATTTAAAAAAAATAGTCAGTTTCTCATTAAATGCCAGAAAACCCCCAGTACAAATATTAATATTCAAAATAATCAGTGGGATCTCTTTCATTCTGAAAGAAGCATGCTCAGAAAGACTTCCCTTCTGAATCCCTTCATCTGAAGGCAGCGTGAACAGCAAAGAGGTTGCTAGAGCTAGCTGGAAGAAAGGCCAGGAGAAGGTGTCAGTGTTCTCGGAAGAGACTGAACTCTCTTGTGGGATGATGCGTAGTGGGATGCTGGAGTAATTCTTGCCCCTTCCTCTGCTCTTCAGGCTGGACTTTGCAGACTAACCCCAGCCCTTGCTGAATTGTCTCCTCGCTTGCTGAGCAATGGTGCATCTTGGAATATGTGCTCTAGAGACGTCTCTCGTAACTTGTGTGAAATGTCCCATTTTCTGACACTTCTGAGGACACCATAGTGCAGTTTCCAAAGAGAATTTTATTCCGTTTTCAGATGTTACAGATTTTTGACAAAATCGGGTCTCAGCAGAAGGCAGATGTTTTTCATTCTTAGTTAAAAACTGAAGTTATCCAAAGATAGCAACAAAATTTTTTTTTAGGGGAGGGGGAATAGGAAATAGTCTTGACCATTATCAGGAGCACAAGGTGGGAAACTTGAGTTTTGTCTTTGGATTTACAGGAGTGACAGAGCTCGCTGGATTACAGCGCTTGGACAGGACAGAGACGGCCAGAAAACGGACAGGACAAGTGAGTTACAACTAAGGAGATTTCTGAGGGCTTTGACATGGAGTGGAAACGCGCTGCCCCTTAGTGGGGACGTGAGCAAGTGTAGACCATAAATACCCTTAGCAATGCTGTCCGTGTCTCCTCCTGCGCTCTGCTGCTGTAGCATCCGTGAAGCTCCCTTCCCTTCCTCTGCACAGGGGCTTCTCTGAGGAGTTCTGTTTCGCACAGTAATTTCCATTTGCGTTCATGAACTCCGGTTTGGTCAGTTGTTTCAGTCTGTTAGCAGAAGTGCAAAGACTCTTCTCTTTAAGATGTTTATCCCAAGTTTGTTTGTTTGTAATTGTTCAAGTAGGAAGACGTTTGCATAATTTTATGCCTCCTTTGGGTCTTTTGGGGGGAGTATACTCTAAAACATAATTTCTTTAAAGTAAATTGTATATATATTTTAATAAAAGCTACTGTTATGTGAATTGTTTAATTCAGCCTGGCTTATTTCTTCCACAGGTTTGACTCAGGTAGAGATCACCAGAACTTACACAGCAAAGCAGTCGGATGAACTGTCTCTTCAAGTTGCTGATGTTGTTTTGGTTTATCAAAAAGTAAATGATGGTGAGTGAGACTTGCTGTCAGTAGCCATCTGTCACCACTGCAGGTGAACGCGGCTAGAAAAACATGTTTCCTAATACCATTGGCCATGCAGTGAATAAAGGTTTAGCTTCCAAGAAAACCTTGAGCATTTCGGTTCAGGTTTCTAAAGGATGAGGCAACAGATGTCCAGAGTAACTCCTGGCCTATCAGAAAGTGTGTGCTGGCTGGTTTTGACATGTGACACGTCTGCAAATAAGAAACTGAATTCTACCTAAAAACATGGAGCGAGCACGGGGTTTGTCTGAGCAAGAGACAATTGTTGGTCATGTCGTACTGCGCTTCGGCGCCTGTTACGTACCGGGCTCTAGCACAGTGGTTTTGCCTAGCTTCCCCTAGCATCAAGTACCCGGGATCGGAACTGACTGGTGCCTGGACGTGCAAGTGATTCTGCTAATATCTCATGATGTGCTGACTCCATGATGCTTGAAGCTGTCAGCACCTGAAGTACTAGATCCTACTTGAATGAAGTTACGCAATATTACATACGAACTCAAAGATCCTGTCAGTTGTGCTGCGTTTCTTTCTTTACATTGCAGCGATACTATATTTTTTATGTTATTTCAAACAATATATTTGAATTACAGTATTAAAAATGTATTGCACTTGTTTCATATAATACTTATTTTTACATATTATTTTTACATACTATTTTGTTCCTAGTCTGTCTGTACAAAAAAAATGCAACCTTGCCAAATGTATCTTAATCTGGTACTTTGTTCACTAAAAAGGTAAATATGTAATGTATGTGATGGCTGTGTCAAGCAACACACAGTTCTGACAAAGTATCCTTAACATTACTGGAAAAGGTTTATTGCTCCCTGTCTGTTCACCCTTGCAGGCTGGTACGAAGGGGAACGGCTGCGGGATGGCGAAAGAGGCTGGTTTCCCATGGAGTGTGCTAAAGAAATCACCTGTCGTGCCACAATTGACAAGAACATGGAACGGATGGGCCGCTTACTGGGACTTGAAACCAACGTGTAGGCTGTTTGTGCTGCTTCTGACTACGCTACAGGATTTGCACTACCTGCTGTCAAGCGGGGGCACGGCTGCTTGCCCTGCGGCTGTCCCATGGAAGTGGTGTGTCACCGATGCAAAAAATCTAGTAACAGGGCACTGATGTTCTGGATACTCGTCCCTCTCTTTTGAGAGCTCTGAACTGAAACTGGGGCTCAACCAGTAGCAGATTTCAACTAGAAGTGGTTTCTTAGGCACTAGAGAGCAGCCATGTGTCTCTGACTCAAAACTTGGTTTCAGCTGTAGTTCTTCCATCCTGAACTCTTCACGTTTCTTTCTCCATCCATTTTTGAGCATTTTTGACTTTGTCAGAAGCACAACTCTGTGTAGCAGTCTGCGTAGGAGGCTGAGCACCAGAAACTGACCCAAACCATTGAGCTGGAGGTGAACGGCAGTACTGAGGGTTTCCTGCTCCTCAGAAACTGCAGTGTTACGTTCTCAGTACCAGAGAGTGTGTTAATGGGATGCTTCCCTGTTGTGTCAAAAATCCACGTGTAACCTGAACTACAGTGACCAGCCCCGTAATTCATGAAGGACTACCTCTCCAGCACAAACCCAGGGACATCCCAGGCTTTGTCAGATGTAATTAGATCACTCTAATCACTGTTGGCAAAGCTGACACAAGCTCTGGGGAAGTGCCTCCAGCGGCGGTGGTCTCTAATACAGTGTGTTACTCGCACAGGCAGCTCAGATGTGCTCTCCTTCCAGTGCTGCAGCGGTCAAAGGATTTCTGAAAGCAAGAAAGAGGTACCAAACTCTGCAAAATATACAGTGTTGATTATCTTGTCATATCCACACTGGCATCTTAAAGGAGTGTAACTGCTGGGAATGTGTCCATTTTGTTTCAGTTTTCCCCACATGTTGAAACAAGGTCTTTGTATTAAGTCACTACTTCCGAGCAAGGGTTTTGATGGGGACTGCAGAAAACATGAAATAATTTGTTCTAGGGTTGGGGGGTTTGGTGTGCATTTCAGGGTTTTTTTTCAGTCTTTCTGCTTTTCTGTACTAGTGGAGATTTTCTGTACTAGTGGAGGGAGGGCAAGAGGAGTAAAATAAGGACTCAGACCTTGCTTTCAGAGGAGCTCGCTCTGGTGCTGCTTCACACATCCTCTCCTCTGCTTTAGAGGAGATGTCTTACAATTGCACTACACACAACACCTGCTAAATTTTTGCATCTGCAGTTTGGCTTTGGAATTTCACAGGAAAAAAAACCTAACCACTTAATGTTGTGTGAACAAAATGCACTCAGAAGTGAAATAAATTTCAGTGCATCTTTTCTGTATCCAGGGGTGACAGTTTGTATAAAAATCTTCACCTTTTTAAGGACCAGCTGATAACTCAGCAGGGTAGAATACATTTTCAGTAAAAATGAGGGAGAAACTTATAGTACAAAGGAATTCTTGTTGCATTCCCTGTCTTTTTTAAAGGGGCTGTATGTTGTTTTATAAACTGTAATATGTTGATTTGTGAATGAATTGGATGTTTATAAATGTGTATCTCTGTAACAAAGTATTAGAAGGCAGTAATTTTGTACAAAAATACTTACCTTGACAGTCTGACAGTGGTTATACAGCCTTGTAAATTAATTTATAAGTGGACCGGTAAAAATAGTAATGTGATAAGCTGTAAATCAAACAAAGACTTATTTAACATGGTAAAAATACTGCTAATATTTTAACAAATTTTATTGTACACAGGCAGATGTTTAGCACATAACTGAATGTATAAATCCAGAGATTAATGTTATTCAGAATTTTTAATACATTGTATATATTTTTCATACCTAGTTTTTCAAAAAATGCTGTAATGTTTTTTAAAGACATTTTTCCTATTGTCAGACACAGTTCTTCAAGAATTACAGACTTCCATGATTTTATAGGACAACAATCAATAAAATGCTTTTAAGTCCTTACTAAAAAAAAGCTTTAATTTTTTCTTTAACACTATTTCTTAAACTGCAAGTTGTTAATGTCATTCTTGTCAAAGAAATGAAACCTGTTATGTAATCTGTGGCATTTTAGATTTTCTGTGCTGGAAGGATAAACAGCACCACCCTGTGTCCTCCCTCCTCTGTCACAGATCTGATTTAGGTGCATGCCCCTGAAGTGGGCACATAAAATAAAATGCAGGCTGAGACATCTTGTTTCTCAGAGACTGTAGCAGGAGAGGCAGATAGGAAAGGAGTCAAGCACGTAAGGTTCTTCAACTACCTGCTTCTAGCTGCTTCTGTAGTAGAGCTGGAAGGGACCTAGAGACTAGTGTCTGACCACCCTCTGGGTAAAGAAAGATCCAATCTAAACCTACCCCAGGCACAGCTTTGAACCATTCCCACACATCCTGGCCCTAGAGCCCAGGGAGAAGAGCTCAGCTCCTCCCCCTCCCCTCCTCAGGAAGGCACAAACCAGACAAACCCAGAGTCCCCAGCCTTCTCTAATCATGGATTACTACACAAAGGAAGATGATTGTACTAAGAACTACACCTTAACCAGATAATGCCCCCATCCAGCTTCCAAGGGCCTGCAGGCACCTCCCCTAAAGCCCTCCTTCGGCAGCTTCTCCACCCCAGGAGCTGCCCCAAGTGTCCTGGGCATTCTGCTACTGAGCAGTGCTGCTTGCTGGCCACCACGCTGGTCCCAGCACCTTCTCCAGAGTGGTGGCCACTTCACCCTTAGCCTAGGAGCTGTGACAGCCTATCTGGCACAAGTGGGGCAGCTACAGCTTCCTTCATCTGTAGGTTTGTTTGCACCCACCTGTAAGATGCCTGAAGAAAGGATCAAAACCAAAAGTGGCCTTTTGGTGAGCTGCTGAAGCAGCACTTCCTGCAGAGCACTACATTTTCTAGGGAAGCAGCTGATACCATCAGTTTCTTCTAAGCTACACAGCTCCACACACAGAAATAAAAGACACTGGACTACATTCTGTTTAGTGTAGCATCAGCACGTGCCTGGCGCAGGCATCTAGCAGGCACAACAGATAACTGGTATGACCTCTTGAAATCTTTGCCTTTAGACTAGAGTGATGCTCCATCATAGCTCAAAGAGGTCTTCAAAATTTAATATAGCATGACAAGCAATTTAACAAAAAAGTTTGTATAACGTTTTTCAACAGCTAAATTTTTTTCCCTTTCTAGCAACTCCACAATATTTTCATTAGCAAAAAAAAAAAGTCATCTTTTAACTGACTTGCTCTAAGGTAAGCACTGCAGAAGGAATGATCTAAACTCAGTCCTTGCTTTCACTAGCCAATGTGTGCACATGCATGTGCATACACACCTTCTCTCTCCTGCCCAAGGATGAGGACATGACACTAGTACCTCATTTTTAATTAAACAGCCCAGCACTGACACAGTACAGCTGGGAGTTTGTTACTGCAAAATTAACTTCCACATCATTTTTGCAGGGCCTAGAATGTGCACCCCTTCCTTCCTTGACTTCTCTAATCAGGTTTTAACCAAGCTGACCAGAACTAAAAAGCTCTCGGTTCCCTCAGTCATAGTTTCATTTCACATGATACAATTAAATACACACACTCTGAGAGGTGGGCAGAAGCCATGCCAAGCCCAACATGCACGACTGGCCCAGTGACTGAGTACCTGCACAGATGAGGAGATCCCGTGTTTGTGCTTACCTGCCACTGACGCCAAGACCGAACTGAACACCAGCACTGCCTGGGGAAGGAGCCACTGTCCCAGCGAGCCCAGACGCCACACAGGGTCTGTGGGCTCCCAGAGGCCAGCGAGCAGCCCTTCAGAAAACCCAACACCAACCGAAGAACAGTTACTGTCTGTTCTGCTTCTTTGTACTATGTTGCAGGGGTGATAAACACAACATTTTTACCTGCTGCACTCTTGAAAAAAGCAATGTTAAAATACAGTATTGTTCTTGACTTTCATATCAAAGAAGTTTGTTCTCCATTAAGCAAAGCTGATGTGCTGAAAATATAAAACTAGCACCGCTTCAGTCAGCCTACACCACCTCCTGAAGTGCACTCTTTGTGCAGCATCACGCGTACACACACATACCTTAAACTCTGTATCCATACAATATACTCACACAAATTTCCCCCCACCCGTATATCCTGTTTCTGAAGTAACACACCGACAGCACACAAGTATTCGAAACAAAACTAGAGTTAAGTTTGATGTCAAGTTTGAGGAGATCTGGTTTATCCCTGGTAATGCAGCAAAACCCACACCGCCACTAGCTAATTTTGAACCTCTGAAGAATACAAAGGTTTTTGATACTTTTCTGCTTAAAAAAAGTACGTTAAGCTACACGCTTTAGCCACACTTCCCCAGTTGTGCATAATACCCTTATTTATACATTAGTCACGTCAGTTTATAAGTGAAGATCCAACCACACCAACCCATGACACCTCAGTGCGTGTTTCTTCTGGTGGTGGCCCTGACACCACAGTCTGATCCTGATCCTCCCGGATCTGGGGACCATCCAAGAGAACTGCCCTCCCCCTTCGATGTGTTCAACCAGTGCTGCTGCTCTTACCCAGGCTCTGCAATTGCCACCATTTCTTTTTACCTTTTGTGTTGTTAGATGGATATTTAGATTAGATATTAGGAAGAAATTCTTCCCCATGAGGGTGGTGAGGCCCTGGCCCAGGCTGCCCAGAGTAGCTGTGGCTGCCCCCTCCCTGGCAGTGCTCAAGGCCAGGTTGGATGGAGCTCTGAGCACCCTGGGCTGGTGGAAGATGTCCCTGCTCATGGCAGGGGGGTTGGAACCAGATGAGCTTTAAGGTCCCTTCCAACCCAAACCATTCTGTGACTCTATGAAATACGACAAAAACAAAGAATGAGGAGAATAAAACTGGTACCGCCTGCCAGCCTTTATTTTTTGTCATGCCTTTTAACCCAACCCTATCATTAACAGCGCAGCCGCCCACTCCTCAAGAACCTACAAACTGCTGTGGTAACTGCCCCCGCCATCGCACCGCTTCAGGCCGGGGTACAACGGGCGCCAGCAGCACGGCTCCTCCCTCGGCGCCATCTTGCCACCTCCTCTAACCCCGGCCCCCCCCCCCCCGTTC